GTGAAAGAAGTGTACATCAGCTTAAAATTTTCAAAATCCAGAGGAAAATATAGGACTGACCATAGAAGACACTGTTGGTGTCACTCGACACATTATTATGAAGGGGGGCGAGAGGGCTCTAAAGAGAGCAAGGAGCATCGCTGTCCTCAGGAAGGATGGTAATGTGAGATGGAGGTCGGGGCTGGGACCCAGGAGGAGAACCAATGGCATGGAAGGAACTGGAAAACTGGTGTTAGTGTGGCAACTCCCAGAATAGACTGAGCTTGGGAACAATGCCGGGGCAGTGAAAGGGCTTAGCGGAGAAACTGCATTTGGACAAATGATGAGGACAGCAAGATTGGCTTTGTTTGGGGATGATGATGTGCATAGCTCCTTAATCCTCCATTATCTTCTTTTATAGTGAGATCGTTGGCTCCACCATGCTGGAAGGGAGCCCTCACTCCCCACAATGCCCTTCTTCCTCTCTTCTGAGAAGATCAGTTCATGGCCACATTTCAGAGCTTCAGGGCATGCTTGGGCCTGGCTCTGGCCAGGGCTGGTGGCTGCACTGTACAGTCATAGAACTGGCTGTGCCTTTGCCCGTCCACAGTTTTCCATCTGGAGAGGGAGTGTCTCTGTGGCCTTCCTGCCCATAGGCAAACCCAGTTGTGTCCTTCTTCCTCTGATTCCTCCCCTGGTCTCCACCAGCCGGAATTCTGGGCCTGGGCAGTGCTGGGCCATTCATATGGGAACCCTGCTCTGGATGGTGTTTATGAATCAGGTGTATCACAGTCTCATGGGAAGGTTCTCCATTTACAACTGTCCTTTGCCCACATGTAGAGAGTCTGATGAGGTGAGTCAGCAGTGGAGTGGGGCTGTCTGGTTAACAGGTGCCTGGGAGATGGAAAAGCCTGGACAGGCTTAGGCTTCCTGCCTGAGAGCTGGCAGGTGAAGGACAGAAGCACCACCAGAAGGCTGTGATGGATCTATATGGAGTCCCAGTGCATGGAGGAGGCCTCTGCTCGGATGGCTCTGCTGAGGCGATACTAAGGACAAGTAAGCAGACGGTGACAGGGTCTGGTGACATGGCCCGGAGCTCTGTCTGCCTACCTGGGACTTTATATCAGAATGGTGTCGAAAGTCCACACAAGACAACTGTGTGTAATGTTGTGGTGTTATCTGGGCCAAAGTGCTTTCCACATGCATAACATTTGGGTTTTGCCTAGAGCTCCTTGTGCAAATGCAGAGATTTCACTCACACCTTTCAGTCCTTTGGCCACCCCCTGTTTAGACTTGGGACACATGACATTGTCATACTGGAGCCACACATGCAGACTGCAGTCTTAAAAGATGTAGTTAGAACCCGTTTGGCACTGAACCCATCCCTGCCTTAGAAAAGGGGTCCCTGGCTTCTATGGCACATTTCCAGTGATGGAGAGCTCTGTGCTCGCAAGCCACTCTAGCCATGTGGAGGCTGTAGTTGTTAGACATGTCCTTCTTGAAGTGGGTGTGAATCGGCCTCCCCACAACTCTCCCACCCCGACGTGTAAGGCCCTCTTCCTGTGCCCCTTGGCGAAGCTCTAGATATGAAGACATGGATGTGTGTCCCTGAAATCTTTTCCCTTCTGGGCCAAACAGAGGCTCCTAGTACTTTTCAAATTTTAATGTGCAAATAAATAACTGGGGAATCTTATGGAAATGCGGACCAGGGCTCTGGGTTTCTAATAAGCTCCCTGGTAATGTAGAGATGGCTGATCCATTGGCCACACTTACAGAAGCATGAGTGGGGTGTCAAGAGTGTCCACCTAGTGAGAGTGAGAGTGCCCTGAGCTCCTGGTTTGTCTCCCTCACTCAGTGACTGTGTGACTTTGGGAAGTTACTCAACATCTCAGGGCCTTTGCTCCCTTTACAGTAATATGAGGGAAGGAGGGTACCTCTCACAGGTCTGTTGTGAGAATGGAGACCAGTCTCAAAGCTCCTGGCTCTAGGGCTGGCACATGTCATGTGATTGGCAATGTGATCTCTTGGTCATTTCCCACTGAATAGCCTTAGGACCTTTGATTGTTACCTTGAGGTACTCTACATCTATGTACCTTTACCAGGAAGCACTTAGAGAGGCCAGAAACTCATAGAAGGGCCAGTCCACGAAATAGAAGATGCAGGCATGGCCTTAACCCATAATTTCTACAGATAATGTGTTTTCACAACGCTCACCACTGTCCTATTAAACGGTGGTAGAAATAATGTTTTTTTTCTGGGCAACTCACAGGAGTGAAATATTAATTCAGAAGCTGAAGGGACATACCAACAAAGGTCTATCCTGTGAGGTTACATTGGTTTCATTCCTGTGTTGATTAAAGATGCTAATTAACAATTAGAGAAACCATTATACTTTGGTATGGTAAGGCAAATCTATTAGTATTTAACAAATGTCATCTTTGTTTGATAGATAAAAACTGGGAAATTCTGGTTTCTTCATAAACCGTTGTATTACTTGACGTTTCCCGACTCAGTGTAGGTGCCGTCTCCTGTAGGAAGCCCCTTTACTTTCCAGGCTGAGTTAAGTGCTCCTCAGACCACCCTATTGAATTACTTACCGCACTGGACTATAATTGCCTTTCTTCTCTGCTAGATTTTAATTCTTTCAGTGTGGAGACCAGATCTTATTATCATGGTGTATCTTTAGTGCCCAGTGAAGAGCCTGGTATAGGGTGGGAACTCTAAACATGCTTGTAATAGGAGGGAGGGAGGAAACAGAAAGACAGGGAAAAGGAAGAAAAGGAGGAAGAGAAGGAAAAGGGAAGGAAGAGAGGGAAGGAGGGAGGAAAGAAAGAGAGGGACAGCATTTACAAATGAGTTGATCTTCATTGGCCTTTGATCCTCAGAAGCATTACCTGCTTCTTAGCACCATAGGCACCTTGCTGTAAGTGACGGAGGCCCTCCTGGCTAACCTGCCCGGAAGCCAGGTGTCAGAGGAATCCCTGCTCTCTGTGTGGATGTCCTGTTCCTCTTGTGCATTCATAAGGAAGTTGACCTTGATCTCCAATATCTACCTTTCTGCTTTTAGCTCCACCAGTAGCCCTGCTTATATTATTTCTAAGACAGAAGATGGCTGCCTCCCCAGACATAAGCTCTCCTTAAGGAAAGTGTATTTTTCCTTGTGGGGACATTGTTATTACCACTATGGTTGTTTTTTAAATTAAGGGACTCTACTTTTGTTGGGCAATTCTTTTCCTGCGCCCTGAGAGTTCTAAAATGAGACATCACTTTTCCTGTTTGAGTAAGATGACAGAAAGCTGAGGGGATGCTTGGCCCTGATGGCGGAGCTGAGATCACAGCTTGTTCTTGCTGGTATCCCGGTGGGTGACCCGTGGAAACCAGACTTCTCGGACTGCACCCTGCCTGCGTTCCTGCCTCATCATCTGGTTGACTCGCCACGGCCCTGAGCTGGGGGATTTGTGTACTAGTTGCACAATGACATTAAGGTGTGGCTGTATTTGCTGGGAAAACAAACAGGAATAAGATCCTGAATCCAAATCATGACCAGGAACAGGCCCAGAGCCCTTGTATTTGTGCAAGTTCGGGATGTGGTGAGTTCTGTGCCTTCCTGTCTTTTCCAGCCCGGAAACAGCTATCGTTGCCAAAAGAACAAGGATGATGCATTTTGTGGGGTCCCCTGGGACGTGGGCAGCATAGTCCCGACAGCTGCCGCGACAGCTGTGCTTTCTAAACAGGGAGGGAGCCATGTTTGCCCCCGTCTTTCCCATAGCACGAGACGATGTTGCTTCAGCGGATGCCCTGGGTGGAAGTCCATGAAGACCAGCCTGCTTTCCTTCTCAGCACAGTTGTCTGCAGTGGGCATCTGCTCACAGACTCTCTCTGTTCTCAGAGGCACAGAGATGGTTATTGCATTTTGCTCCCCCGACCTGATTCACATACTTCCCTCCACACCCCCAAAGGCCAGGCAGTTGAGAAAATGCAATTTCCTTTTGAGTACAGGGCACAGGTACCGGTTACTAGATTGGGACAGCAAGGGCCTGACTCAGGGCTCTGGGCCTGCCTTGATGGTGGGCTTGGGTCTTCCTCCTCTGTGTGTCCCCACAGTTATGGAGAGCCTGGGCCCGCGAAGGCATGGACAGGTGCCGAGGGCTAAAGGAGGGACGCCGGAGCTGCATGCCTCTGTATCCTGGCGGCTCTGCGTCCCTGCCCTGATGGAAGGCTTGGAGGGCACAAGGCACTTTACTCACCAGCGGAGACCCGCCCCTGCCCAGGGATGAAAGACAGGAGTCCAGGACAGAACCACGTCTGCAAACTTGTTTCACTTTTTAAAAGGTAGCCTTTTCTTGATCAGAAAATAGCCTTAGAGGAAAGCTTCCTCAGTAAAGAAAACCCATTCTATGCAAATAAACATGTCTGCAAGATTGCCTTGGGTCAGTCCTCAGCCGTCTCTGCCTGCCCTGAGATGGAAAAGGCTGCTGCCTTGGAGGGAGGGTGGAGGTGCTTGTCTCTACCACCCCGGACCTGGAGGGGCTGGGCTGGGTGGTCTGCTTGTGGGCAGGGCTCGGCTCAGCACAGTGCAGTGATTCCGGGGGAGCTTGGGAGCTTGCTCACTGCGTGAGCCAGCCCTTGAGAAGAAGAAGATGGGGAGCTGGAGCAGAGCAGCCATTAGGAATCTTCTGCACCCGCCCCAGGGGCCTAGCCAAGAGGACAGGGAGTAAGGGAGGGGAGGAGAAAGGGGGTGGTAAGTGGAGCAGATCCAGGGTCTGAGAAGGGGCTTGGGAGGGACCCCGTCATGCAAATAGCACCTTCCCAGGGAGGGAAGTCCTTCAGGTGGGTTTTTTTTCGGAATCCCTACTTCCTTTGAGACTTTAGGGATCCCACATGGCTAAGTATGTGTTGATGTGCGTGTGTGCATGTGCGTGTGTGTGTGCGTGTGCGTGTGTGTGTGTGTGTGTGTGTGTGTGTGTGCGTGTGTGTGTGTGTGTGTGTGTGTGTGTGTGTGATTGATTGTTTGGGGGAAAGGGGAAGTAAGTTCTTCTGGGTTTATTCTGGTGTGGGGGGGTAGTCAGCTGTAATTCTCAAGAAATGCCTTCTGTGGCAAAGTCCTCTAGGTCGTTGGTGGAGATGATGCCCAGGCGAGGGGTATCTCCCCCCTCCTCCCCTAGGCTCGGGGGAGGAGCATCCGGGCGCTGGCCTGCGGAGTGCTGGGTGGGGTCCCCACGAGGCCTCGCGCCCAGCTGTAGCTGCAGAGCGGCCTCGCGGGCCCTCGGGAGACCCATCCCAGCTGCCTCGGTGGTGATGTGAGGGCCCTGATTTAGGAAGGTGGGGGCAGACAGCTGAGAGGAGCACCGCAGCGGCATCAAGGCCGTCACGGGCAGGGGCTGGAAGTGGGGGTACAGCATGTAGGGAGCATCCAGTGTGTCTGGTGGGGGTGGCTCCGGGGAGCCCTCCTCAGAGGTTGGGATGGAGACCTTGACGTATTTGCCTGTCTCAGGGTCATAGAAGGTCTTGATTTTCATCTGGAGTGGCAGATCGAAGACAAAGTACTCTCCAGATTGAGGGTCTTGGAGGACCTTCTGGGTGGCAGGGTAAGGGGGCAGGGGCGTAAGGCACTGGGATCCCCCAGGCTGCCTCCTGATGGGCTCTGAGAAGGCAGACACTGAGTGGCGGTGGATGGGAGGGGGCAGGGAGCGGACCCCGGGGCACCTGGGTCGGGGCCTCTCTCCAGGGAGTGCTGGCCCTCGGTCGCAGTCCTCCAAGCACTGCTTCTCTTCCAGGGGTTCATTATACTTTTCTTGCAGTTGGTCGGTCTTTCTCCTCTTGCTGGCCAGCTTTTTCGCCCGCCGCAGGGCCTTCTCTGTTTTGGGTGGGACTGCAGGAGGCTTGCCGGCCGCCCTCTCCAGCTGAGCGGCAGGTTCTGGTTTCTCAGGCAGGCCTGCTGAGCTGGCGGCCGCGTCCAGCACTGAGCCTCTTGGAGAAAGTGTCCTGAGGTCTTCTGCAGATGGCTCAAGTTGGGGGTCGGAGCCAGCCTCCCACGTGAGAGCATGTGTCAGGTCCTCCCTGCGGGCAACCCTGGCAGGGTAGGGGTTGGCCCAGGGGCTGGGGTGAGCAGGCTCCCCTGGCAGCAGGCCCGGCTCACTGGGGGCCTGGGAGACATCGTCCCAGATGCTGCTGGTGGCTGGGGAGCACCCGCTGCTCCTGTCCGGGGAGCTGGCATTGGGGGAAGTTGCCGTCTCGCCGGGGACCAGTCGTCTCCCCAGGGGCCCTACTCGGGGTGTAGACAGTAAGTGGCTTTTGAAATCTTGTGTGTGTTCTTCCCAACAGGTTCCCAGCTGCTGTGAGGGTGGCTGGTCTTCAGGGTCACCCTCAGGCAGAGCGATGGTGGGGATGCACCTCGGAGCATCCAGCTTCCCCTGGACTGTGCCGTCATTTGGCACAACTCGACATGCGGCCTCTGGGAGTGGCTTCAGCCCTTCAGCCTCTCCTGCGAGTGGAGGAGATGTGACATTCTCCATTGGCGCTGGCACCTGCCTGTGGTCCTCCGTGCTCTCCCAGGCCGTGTGCTTCGAGCGTGAGCCCTGCGTGTTAGTGGGTGTGGGGGTGTTGGCCACTTTTTGGCTCTCGGGGCCACAAAGCCCAGCCTCTTCTCCCCAGCCTGGTTTTGGCAGGTCTTCTTCTTTGTGGCTGCTGCCCATCGAGTCCTCTGATGACACGGTCCTCAGGAGGGGCAGCATGATGGGTTTTATCACGGGGGTGGCCCTGAGGGTGTTGTCTTTAATTGCAAACAGTATATGCTTGTTCATAGTGGAAGATGGCGAGGGGGTAGGGTCTCTCATTGTATCCTTACTTCCCACGATCCAAGTGCCTCTGAAGTTAGCTTCCTCTCTCGATGCCTTCCTGGGTCTACAACCAGATGAGCTTTCTCCTTCTTGCAACGATGCCCCCTGGCTGTGCTCCTGCACGCGTGCATGTCCATTACTTAAGGCTCTGGGCCGTAACTCGTCTTTCCCTATCTCTTTTTCCTTCTCGTCCTTCTGACTGTCACCTGCACTTTCATCATTCCTCCTGTCTTCCTGCTGGCTCTCAGTGAACCACGTCTTCTGCTGATCCTCAAATGAGGCAAAGGACTGGTCCGAAGAGCTGGTGCTGAATTTGGCCTTACTTTTGAAGCATGGCATGAAATCGGACTGGCTGTCACTATAGAATACATCTTCTTCCTCGGGAGAGAGGGGCCCTGGGGAGAATTTCTGGTTGAAGTTTGGATTCTGAAGACCTGCCTCTCTCTCAGGTTCTGTCTCTTGAGACATGGATCTCGAGAACCCCTTCTCTAGGCTGGGGGTCTTTGGTTTCTCTCCAGCCTTCCCTGCCTCAGGCTCTCTGTTGCAAAGCCTCAGAGAAAGGTGCTTCCTGGGGCAGTGTTCCCTCGACTCTGGATATTTGCCGGACCTGGCAGTGCCCATTTCTGGTTCTGCATCATCCTTCTCATAGCTGTTTCTGTCAGCTCCCTCCCCATTGATGGAGAAGGGGGCTTGGGTGATGGCTGGAGGTGAGTTAAGAGTGAGATACTTGTCTGCAGAGGCTGCACCAGGGTCAGCTTTATGGTCCATCTGGGTGCTGATGTGGGACACAGAAGGGGCGTCAGCTGCTGTTTCCTTAGAAAGCTCATTTGGAGGGCTCTCCTCAAGCCCATTGGGAAGGATGATGCCATTGCTCACGGGTTCTTGCTTGCCTCTGGTTTTCTCCTCAAGGCCTTTTAAGAGAGGTGAGGGACTATATGTGCTCTTGACACGCTTCCGCACGTCCTTGAGGTTGAACAGCAGGCTAGGGGCTTTGGATTTGTAGCTGTCCCGAGACTGACATTCACTAGGGTCCTTTTCTTGGTACCCATTTAGCTGTCCTGAGGGCGATGGGGCCATCTCCACTGGCTGGCTGTCAGATGGCTCCAGGAGATTCTTGGTGGGGATGATGGGGGTCAGAAGCTTACTGATATTAAAAGGAGGACTGTAATGCTCATTAGGGTCCATGGACATGTCAGGAGCCTCGTTTTCTGGAAATTGTCCCTGGGGATTGTGCTTTGTGTACAAGGCTGGGCCTCTTCTAGTGGCCTGCTTCTTCTCTTCTGATGTGTCTTGTAGACTTTCTTTCTTTCCTTTGCCGGACTTTGGTTTCCTCCATGGGGGCTGGGTGGGCTTCCCCTGAAGGTCAGGCTGTGCGCCAGAAGCTTTTCCCTCTGCACTGAATACCTGGGCCCCTGAATCCCTAGGTCCCCAGGGTCCTGATGTGGAGACAGCCCCTGGGGCCAGCCTGCTCTCCTCCTGACTGCAGCTGGCCCGGGCTTGGCAGGGGGAGACTTTGTGCTCAGAGGCCGGGGGCTCTTTTAACAAGGGCATGTTCTCATAATGCTTGGGGGCTTTGCTTTCTGGGACAGGGTCAAAAGCCTCCTTTCTCTCGGGCAGCCTCGGTTGGTGGGCGTTCCACGACTCAAAAGCACTGTTTTCACTATGAAGAAAGGTCACTTTGCGAGGCCACTCCTTACCTCTTCCAGGCTCGCCCTTGGATGGCTTACGTGGTGGAGAAGGGAACTTTGACTCGAACGCACCGGCCACATTTTCGGGTGTTGGGAGGAAGCTGCCGGAGCTGTGACAGGCCATCTCGGGGTCCTTGGGGGACTCCTGCTCTCCGTGCTTCTTGCCAGGCTGGTGGCTATTCTGATGGGCGCCAGAGACTTCAGCGGGCACCCTTCTGACAGTCAGAAAGGCAGAATCGAAGCAGAAGTTGACACCACTTTCTGGCAGAGGAGCAAATTTGGGGGGGTTCTTGAGAGCCGGGGGCTTACTGGTAGGAGGCCTGCTGTCACAGCGTTGGCTCTCAGTCCTGTCGAAAGATTTAATCAGTGATGACACTTTAGAAACAGGCTTGTTGCTGCTCCTCAGGCCGGAAATGGGCACCTCCAGTATCCTCTGGGCTGGCGTCAGTGGAGGGCTGCTTTTGGGGTACTTTTCCTCCCCTTGAACGTACTTGGGTAGCTGTTGGAACGTGGCTGCCCAGCCCGCATGCTCGGTGCCTTGGGATGGTAACTGGCTCCAAAGGCCGCTTTTCCTGTGGGTGTGGCTCACCGTTCCCTGGTGAAGATTCCCAAACACCTGGCGGGTGATATCGGGGGACAGGGTCAGGTCAGAGTCATTGAAGGATGCGTCCTCGGAGATGCACAAGCTTCGGAACGCCCGGTCTGTGAGGCTGCTCACCTCTCTGTCTGCATCGTCCAGCACGCTGCCAATGCTCGAGGAGTCACTGAACCCGTCCGTGCACTTCTTATTCCCCTGCATCGTCCGCCAGCTAGGAAGACTGTCCCTGGCCAGCCAGTGGGTGCCCCTGGGTGACAGTTCTGGAGGGGTTAGATGCAGCCCTCTTCCCACAAAACTAGGGCTTCCTGTTGACCAGATGTAATTGCAAAGTGGGATTTTTTATTTCTCTGCAAAAGAAAGATGTGCAGGATGTGAACAGGATATCCAGCTTAGTCGCTGCATATGAGAACTACACACTGGTCCAGATGGGGAATGGTGCCTGTGATGATTAATTTTATCAACTGGCTGGGCCCTAGTACCCAGTTTTTGGTTAAACATATCTAGATGTTGCTAGGAAAGTAATTTTAAGATGTCATTAACATTCAAATCAATAGACCTTGAGAAAAGCAGATTACTTACCCTCCATATTATGGGTAGGCAGCATCTCAAAGACTGAGCTCCCCAGAGGAAGGGATTCAGCCTCTAGTCCTTGGACTGGAGCTGAGACACTAACTCTCCCCTGGGTCTCCAGTCTGCCCTGTAGATGTCAGACCTGCCAGCCCCCACAACTGCATGAACCAGGTCCTTAAAATAAATCTCTTTCTGTTTGTACACATCCTATTGGTTTCCTTCCTCTGGGGAACCCTGCCTACTACAGTGTCTAAAGTTCAGATGTATTATTTTTGCAGAGGTCTTCCCTGACATTCCATGGGGTGTTTCCTCCCCACTTCCTCTCACAGCACCTGATTCATTCTCTGCATGCCCCTCCCATCATTATACTGTAAGAGCCAGGAGCTCAGGAGCCACTGGGCTGTCTGTCTGCTGATTGAACCTGTACCCTAAGAGGGCACAGTCCCCAAGAGCCTGCATCACCTGGGCTCCTCAACTCTCTGACTTGCCCTTGGCTGTGACCATTGGGAGATGCTGGCTCAGCCCCTGGCATTTCTCCCCCATCCCTGCTTCCGGCTACGGTGTGGGGTCTCGGCAATGCTGCAGGTCCTCCCTAACTATGGCCCCTCCCCTGGGCTCGGTCTCTTTCTGGGCCCAGCAGCACTTCTCCCCTTTCCCCCCCGGGGGGCCATGGAGAGGATGTCTCTCATTTCTCCTGAATGGCTTCACGTGCTGGGATCTCCTTATTTTTGTGGTCTGTTAGGGTCCTTTCATTAGATTTTCTTCTCTTTTAAAAAAATTGTGGTGAAATATACAGGACATACAATTTACCAACATAACCATTCTAAGTGTTCTGATCAGTAGTGTTAAGTCCATTCATACTGGTGCAACCACCATCCATCTCCAGAACTTTTATAGCACCCCGGACTGAAACTCTGTACCCATTAAATACCAGCTCCACTCCCCACGCCCCACTACTGCCGACCCCAGCCCTGGCAACCACTGTCTACCTTCTGTCTCTATGAACTTGATTATTCTAGGCACCTCATACGGGTGGAGTCACACAGTAGTTGTCTTTTTGTGACAGGCTTATTCACTTAGCAGAAGGTCTTCAAGGATTATCCATTTCCATCCTGTTTCCTCCCTTTTGAAGGCTGACTATTATTCTATTGTTTGTTTATTCTGCATTTTGTTGATCCAATGGACACCTTGGTTGTGTCCACATTTTGTCTCCTGTGAATAATGCTGCTATGAACATGGGTGAGCAAATATCTGTCCAGGATTCTGCTTTCAATTCTTTTGGGCACATACTTAGAGGTGGAATTGCTGGATCATGAGGCAATTCCATTTTAAGGTTTTTGAGGAAACTCCATACTATTTTTCCCAGTAGTTGCATCATTTTACATTCCCACTGGCAAACAGTGTGCAGGGTTCCAGTGTCTTGACATCCTTGCCAGCACTTGTTATTCTCTCTCTCTCTCATTCTCTCTCTCTCTCTCTCTCTTTTTTTTTTATAGTAACCATCCTAATGGGTGTGGGACGGTACCTCGCATTTCCTTCTGGGTTCCGACTGAGATGCAGCTTCTGCTGGGACCCTGGCCACTACTAACTACCAAGGTACATACTTACAGTGCCTGCAACAGGCCTGGCCCAGGCAGGAGAAAAGTCAAGGAGCACATGACAAGTTAGATAAAATAGCAAGTGCAGACCTTAGCGTGGGCCCAAGAGGTGGGCATTTGGGATGGTGAACATCTGGCAGGGTGCTCTGAGTCGCCAGCTGACAGATGATGCTGTCCCATACTGTGGCCCCTTTCTCATCAACAGCAGAGGCTGGCAAGGCTGCATTCCGCCCTCCTTGCCTGGCTGGCTGGAGTGATAACACTGCCGGGGCTATCGGGGATGGAACGTGCAGATGCTCTCATCAGGGAGGTACGACCTGCACACCTCGTGTCCCTGTCCTGTCCCAGGCCCGCATGGGGGGTAGCGCACGAGGTGTCCTGCCCAGGCCCGAGGCTGCTGTGCGAGCAGCGCTGTGTTTCTGTCCTGGAGGCCAGCCTTCTTTGAGGTTTCTTGTTTCCTGTGTCTCAACCACAGCCCTCCGGTGGGTTTCCAGTGTTGACTCATTGGCAGGCTGACCTGTTTTTATGAATGGGAGAGCTGAGTGGGCTGTGCTGGACAGGGGAAGGACCCCGACTTCTAGCAAAGCCCTGATGCACTCTGCAAAAGCCTCTAATTACATGCTCTTCAGCCCTGCCTTGAAAATCAGGGCTGCTTCTCCCAGAAAGCACAGTACAGGCCTCTTAGGGGGCAGAGGACATTTGCCTCAGCCCTCGGGCCCTGCTGGCTGGCCAGCCTCACTCCCTTCCCCGCCAGCTTCCCGTTCTAGGCAGCACGCCTCTGGTCATAGGTGGGGGTGGGGGACCATGGATGTTAGGGAAAGTTCCGGCCTTTCTGATCAAAGGAATGATCCCTGTGGTCTCCACCCTGTTGGCACCCTCTCTTTCTGCTTCTCACACAGACGCAAAGCCTGGAATGGAGTGTGTTCATTTGCTAGAGCTGCCACAATGAAGTACCACAAAGTGCGGGCTTACACAACAGAAAGTTAGTATCTCTCAGTGCTAGAGGCTGGGAGTCCCAAATCGAGGTGTCAGGTGGTTAAGTCCTTTTTTAGGCTGCGAGGAAAGGATCTGTTCCAGGCCATTCTCCTTGGTTTGTAGTTGCCCATCTTCTCCTGTGTCTTCACACTGTGTTTCTTGTGTCTGTGTTTCTCTGTCCAAACTTCCCCTTTTTATAAGAGCCTCAGTCCTCTGGGATTACAGCTCACCCTAATGATCTCATCTTAACTCATTACAGCTGCCACGACCTCATTCTGAGGTCCTGGGGGTTAGGACTTCAACATATGAAAATTTGAGGGGTACAGCTCAGCTCACAACCCAGAGTTTGCAATCTTGAGGAATGAGCAACAATTAAAGACCAATTTTCTGAGGACGACCTGATGGGCAGAACAGTCCTGGGTTGTCTGTGGCCTTGCTGAGCAATGAGTCTATCCCAGAACTACCAGCTCTGGGTTTGTGTGATTGAGGTGGGGTGGGAGACTTTAGTGAGTCAAGGTTTCTGGATCTTGAGGTCCTACCGATAGAGTCAGGGAGACTTCTGGCATCCTGAATGCTAGGGTCTTGATCTTGGCAGTGGTCGTGCTCCGTAATGGTAATCCTCGGGTTTCTATACTTCCACGTTTACATGAGAACAGGCCAGTATAGATTTAAATTTAGAATCTTAGAGTTAAGTAAGCAACTCCCATCCAATTAAATACCCCCACTATTAGCAGATATTTGTTATATTTTGAATGCTCAGCTTCCATCCATCTCCTCTGAGTAAAAACACTTGATAACTTTGGGGGCAATTTCTTGTCCCTGCTGTGGTTAGTCTTGGTGGGGCTGAAAGCTCAAGGTGCCTGTTGAAACCTCCCTGGTCCAAGTGCAGACATGAGGCTCAGGCCAGGCCCTTTGCACTGTTGTGATGCCAGGATGGAAATGTGCTCAGACATTCTTTCCAGCGGCAGAGCTCTCTGCTCACTCTTTCCCAGCCTGGAACTTCAGTCTTCTCCTGGAGTCTGCAAGGGCTCCAATTTCCTTTTAATACTCATCTATTTCAGTTGAATTTGTCCAGTTTCTGTTTCTGTTGTGCATGGCCAATGAACCCTAACTGATCTTGGGTTGTGACATAATTCCACATAGTAATAAAAGATGTTCACTGATTTTTGGAGTATTCAGAAAATACAGTAGTTCTGCCTTATCCACACATTCCAAGACCCCCAGGCTGAAAGCTGTGGGTGGTAGTATCGAATCCTGTACATACTATGTTTAACCTATGATAAAGCTTATTTTATAAGTCAGACACAAGAAGAGATTAACAACAATACTCAATATTAAATAGGACAATTACCACAATACACTATAATAGAAGTTATGTGAATATGGTCTCTCTCCCTCTCAAAATCTTACTGTACCAAACTCACCCTTCTTGTGATGATGTGAGATGATAAAATGTCTATGTGAGGATTTGGCAGGGGGTGAATGACGTGGGCACGGTGAAGTAGACTTAGGCTATTACTGACCTTCTGACTGTCTGTCAGAAGGAGGATCATGCATTTCCAGACCAAGGTTGATCGCAGGTTACTGAATCCCAAGAAAGCAAAACCATGGATGGGAGGGAGCTACTGTAACCACGTTTATCTGGCTTCAGGAAGAAGAGAGACCTTTATTCAGATAACTTCTTCAATTCTGATTTGATTTTCCTGGCTTCCACTGGGACAGTCATAAATTTGATTTCATCCCCCACTCCCACCCTCTCATCCCCCAATGTCCAGCAGAGCCAGCACAGTGGCTGACAACCAAAAGTGTTTCCTTGGGTTGATTCCATACCTGTTACGGCAGTGGGGGCTGCAGCCGCCTGCCTCGCTGGGTTTTAGGGTCTGTAGTTTTAAAACTTCTTCTCATGCTTACGGTCACTGTCATCATTGCCCATCTAGAAAGAAAAAGAAAAATAATATCAGTGGACCCAACTGACCAACTGGTCAAGCACATATTGGGTACAACAGATGTCTGTGTCAGTTGGCTTTGTATGTGTGTATATATATATATATATATATA